CCCCATCTCTGTCTCTCTCTCTGAGTATCTCCCTCCGTATATACATGTATATTCTTGAGCACATTCTAAAGACACGCTATCATAGTTCTCAATTCACATATGGCGTCAGATACACTTGGTCCAAATTTGGGCCCCGCCATTTCCTCACTGCTTGAGCAAATTATTTAACTTTAGTGAGACTAAACTGGCTCATCTGTAAAGTAGGGACCAAGCCGAATTCACAGGAGTGGTGTGAAGACTAAACCTTGTCATAAGTGTTAAGTGCCTGGCACAGTGCCTTGGATTAAATGCTTACAATTTAGGCATTCATCCAAAAAATGATCGTTTCTCATTTTTTCCTGCAGAACCTTCTGGACTTAGGTTACTCTCTATTTAAGTTCTCCTCGGCTTCATAAAACACCCAGTCATTGAATTTGAATCTTCCAGAGTCATGTTTCTTTCTTTCTTTTTTTTTCTGGTGAAAAAGGTCCTTTTATTAACCTCATTAATATGTGACTTATAGGTCACCTCTTACCTGCTGTATTATACTTTTGTTTTTGTTTTTGTTTTTTTTTATTTTGTCAATATACAATGTAGTTAGTTATTGTGGTGAAAAAGGTCCTTTTATTAACCTCATTAATATGTGACTTATAGGTCACCTCTTACCTGCTCTATTATACTTTTGAAAAATAATAATTACAGCTTACACTTATTAGTATGTAACTGTTTACATGTATTAACTAATTTAATTCTCACAAGTTTATGACAGACACTATTATTATCTCATTTATTAGCTGAGAAAACTGAGGCAACTAAGTTGCCCAAGAGCACACACAAAAAATTGGAGCCAGGATTTGGACTTGAGTCATCTGTCTCTGCAGCCCATGCTTTTAATCGTTTTACTATATGTCCCACCCCACATTGTATAAATGTTTTCCAGCAAGAAAAAAGAATTATATTAGAAGTACTAATGATGTACCATTATTTTTTCCATAGGCAAGTCAGATCCATTGCAGAGAAAGGGTAAAGGAGGATTATTTTGTTCCAACCTAAAGGTCTTGTTTAAGATTTCAGCTAAGCTAGGTTACTACTTTTTTCCCCTCTAAAACAGGCCTAAATGTTTCTACTTAGATCTCACGCATATTTAAGTTTCAGAATTAGGTGGGTCTTCAAAAGTGACTATATGGACATGTGAGCCCAGAAGGTAAAAACAAAAACAGAAAAACAATGAGGATCTGCCTCCATGAGTGTCAGATTAATGAGTTTTTTAATCAAGAAAGAACAGCATGTGATTGAACCCTTAGTCTTGATGACATGCATTTGACTGTGTGCCCAGTCAGTAGAAACAACCTCACTTTGTCGCATTTTGCTCCAGCTTCAGAATACCAAGACTGCTTCTGTATGATGGAATGGCAACAAAGTTGAGAATGTTAAGCTAAAAGCTGGAGTGTAAATTTTCAAATTAGCTGGCAACAGGGGTCTATTCTGTTTGGCATGTGAAAACTGGAGGCATTTAGGGTTGTTAAAAAGTTCATTTCTTACATGAGTCAGTATTTTGTTGTTGTCACGTAACAGAGGACAATCACCATAAAGCATCTACCCAGGAACTCATTTGTGTGGGAAGGCTAGTGGGAGACTGGACCGAATAAGTGGACAAATGTTCTACAGACAGGGAGGATACAGGAACCACCTTAGAACATGTCATCTTAGTGTTTTTGAGGGCTAGGGAGGCTACACTAGAATCTTACATGTATGTCTGCTCAGTTCTGAGATTGAAAGTTTCATCATTGCACAGTTTTTCCTAAAGATGATATCTCTGGATTTTTTTTCTTTGTCTTATTTATTACTTATCACTAGTCTAACTTTACAAGACCGTAATTCTGTGAGCAGCCCAAAAGTCATTGGTTCCTAACTCAGAAAGCATTATTATAGATGCCCAGACATCTTTGACCTATGAATATATCTGTAAGCAAAATAACCGTGAGACCAGAGTACCTGCTGAATTAAGAAGTAACATTTATTTTTCTTACTCTTTCAGAATGAACAATTATTTCCACTTTTCAGACATGGAAATTAAGGCTCAATGAGAATCATTAATTTATCCAGGATCACATCCAATCCTTTGTTTAACCCGTGCATATTGGTTAAATTTAGATTCCCAGTACATCATTACCTTATGTCTTTAATATCTGTTTAAAGGGCCATACTTCTATTTCCTTGGACAAAACATATTGAAACCCACGACAGTTACAGACTTCTTTTGTATAGAATAAATCCAATTGCTAATCTGTCTCTCCTTATGCTGAGCTTTAAAAATAAAAATGTACTTGGCAATAAGCTATATTGAAACTTGAAAGGGTGATAAGTCTTATTGGACTGTTGGCTCATTTCTAATGCAGCAGTGTAAGATAAACAAAGCCTTCTTTGTTTTGAACATTATTCAGAATTATTTCTGACTTCAGTGATAGTAGCTAGGCATCTTCAGGAAAATGCCCATAGAAATCTATAGACTACAGGCAAACTATTGTTAGCTATTTGAGCTGATTAGAAAAAGGCGGGGGTGGGGGGGTACATCATCATAACCATATTTTTCACAAAGTCTCCAACCTATGCAACAATTATCTTTTTCTTAGGCATCTGTAGTTTTCAGGGATAGAATTCAAATACCAAGCCTGAATATCTATTTTTAATCTGAAAATGGATGAACATTTAAAATTTGCCTGATTCAAGGCTGAAAGATTTACTGTTATCCCCTCTTGAAATCTAACAGATTAACTTTTCTTTTAAAGAGTGCCTTGTACTTACAGCCAACATGCTTATTTATCCACAATTATTTCCAAAAAAGATTCTATCACTTACACTTATTAGCAGGACCTCTCTGAGCCTTGGAAAACAGATGATAAAAATCCCTTATCTATAGGTTAATATCCAACATTTATAAAGAACTCATACAATTTAATAGTAGAAAAACTAATAACCTAATTAAAAAATGGGCAAAAGACCTGAATAGATATTTCTCCAAAGAAGACATAAAAATGGCCAACAGGTATATGAAAGGATGCTCAACATCACTAGTCATCAGGGAAATGCAAATCAAAACCATTGTGAGATTCCACCTCATACCTGTTAGGATGGCTATTATCAAAGTCAAAAGATATTTGCACTCCCATGTTCACTGCAGCATTATTTACAACAGCCAAGATAAGGAAACAACCTAAGTTTCCATTGATGGATGAAAGGATAAAGAAACTGTGAGATATATATATATATATATATATATATATATATATATATAAAA